GGGTCTGGGAGGACCTGGGATCTCAGACTCTTAGGGGCTCTGGTCCGGAGCACGGTGGACATCGAGCGTAGTGCGGGGGTCACGGCCATGAGCGGGGTCTCCGGTTTGGAGGAGCAGTGGAGCTGGCGGGAAGTCAAGGGGGCTCCAGGCTCTTCTCCCCTCTTCATTCTGACCTCTTTGCTTGACCCTCCCGGCTTGCAGGAAGCCCGACATACCAGTGCCCTACCTGTACTTCGACATGGGGGCGGCCGTGCTGTGCGCCAGCTTCATGTCCTTCGGGGTGAAGCGGCGCTGGTTCGCGCTGGGGGCCGCCCTGCAGCTGGCCGTCAGCACCTACGCCGCCTACGTCGGGGGCTACGTCCACTACGGGGACTGGCTGAAGGTGAGCGGCCGGGCTGCGGAGGGCTTGGCTGGGGTGGTGGCGAGCCCTGGGCGTGCGGGGGTTTTGCAGACTGCAATGGACGGACCTGAGAGACCCACACACCTTCCTTCCAGAGTGTGGGAGCTGAGGTCCACGGATGGGAAACAGACTTACCCCAAGTCACACCACAGTTACCAGCGCAGGTGGAGCCAGGACCTAGGTCACCTGGTTTCCAGGACCCTAAACCGTTAGTTTAGTAATCTCGGACTCAGAGGGCTAAAGGAACCTTGGAGGTGTCTGATCCAAAGATGAACCCCTGCCAGGCGTTGTGGGCTTGGAGAGAGGCCTGGACACAGGCACTGCCCGTAAGGAAGGCCGTCTGTCCAGGAGGGGAGGCACCTGTGTGAGCGGCTACAGGAAAGTGAGATCAATGGGTTTTTTATGGAACAGACTATGCTAAGTAGCAGAAAGAACATTCTGGGCTGCAGGCCTGGGGGTGGGAAGGGGACAACACTTGGTAACTGGGTTCTGCCACTTTCTGTAGGATCTTGAACAATTTAATTAACCCCTTTGGCCACTTCTGATAAAAAGAATTATCTGTTTCCGCTGTACCTGCTCACCACACTTGGAAATGGTAAGAGGGTTCATCACATGGAAGGGAACATGTAGAGAGGACGTTCTGTGCTCTGTGCAGTCAGGAAATATGTGGCAGTTGCAGTTCCTGACTGGGGTCCCCTTGCCTTGGCCTAGGTCCGTATGTACTCACGCACAGTTGCCATCATTGGCGGATTCCTTGTGCTGGCTAGCGGTGCTGGGGAGCTCTACCGTCGGAAACCCCGCAGCCGTTCCCTCCAGTCCACGGGCCAGGTCTTCCTGGGCATCTACCTCATCTGTGTGGTAGGTTTTGGGACTGTTGGCTGGAGGTGCTTGACTGGGAGTAAAATGTGAGCCCATGGTTGGCAGAACTCAGGGCGGTGGGCCTGTGGATCCTGATGGCCATGCCTCAGAGGCCCTCCCAGGGCCTGAGACCTGGCCAGTTTTCTTCCAATGTTACAGCCACCAGGGGGAGAAGTGGTTGAATTGGCCGTTCACTCCCAAGCCTGAGAGGCAGAACAAGATGGATTGTTCCTCTCATAGAGGACTGGGAGAGGTGGGTTCAGGCAGCAGCTGGGACTGTGCCACTTAGAACTGACGGGGATTGAATTAAAAAAAAAAAAAAAAAGCCTGGGTCAGGTGGCTCGGTTAGAGTGCTGTCCTGTATACCAAAAAGGTGCGGGTTCAATTCCCAGTCGGGCACTTACCTAGGTTGTGGGTTTGATCCCTGTCGAGGCATGTATGGGAGGCAACCATTTGATGTTTTTCTCTCAGATCGATGTTTCTCTCCCTTCCTCTCTCTCAAATCAGTAAATAAATCTTTGGCTGAGGATTTAAAAAAAAAGAACTGATGGGGGATGCCTAGTTAGCCAATATGGTCGTCCCTAGGGGAGGCCAGTGTGGATGGGGACATGAACAGGCCCCAGGCTCCTTGCCCTCATCTTAGTTACTGGGCACCATATTCCAGTGCAGAGCTCTGGATTCAGAGGGGAGAGCCCCGGCTATCTTCTAAGCTCCCCGAGAGAGGAAAGACATGGACTTTAATGTCATATAGCTCCCTAGTCTGATGGGGAGATGTAGGTCCCACTTTCAGAGAGCCCCAAGTCTGAAAGAGAGGAGTCAGAAGCCCACCTTGCAGAGGCTGACTTGCAGGTGCCATCTCATGGGCTTCCGACAGGCTCCTCAGCTTGTTACAGTCTTAAAAGATGGTTTGTCTCCAGGCCTACTCACTGCAGCACAGCAAGGAGGACCGGCTGGCATATCTGAACCATCTACCAGGAGGGGAGCTCATGGTCCAGCTGTTCTTCCTACTGTATGGCATCCTGGCCCTCGCCTTCCTGTCTGGCTACTACGTGACCCTGGCTGCCCAGATCCTGGCTGTACTGCTGCCCCCGGTCATGCTGCTCATTGACGGCAATGTTGCCTACTGGCACAACACACGGCGTGTGGAGTTCTGGAACCAGATGAAGCTCCTTGGAGAGAGTGTGGGCATCTTTGGGGCCGCTGTCATCCTAGCCACTGATGGCTGAGTTGCACTGGGAGAAGCTGAAATGGGTGCAGGGAGCCACTGAGGGTCACCCTACCTTTCTTGCTGGCCCGGTTATGTTTATTTATGCTTTTTGGTCTGTTTGTTTGATTCTTTGCTCTGTGTGTATGTGGGTGTGTTGGTAAGAGGCAGGTCTGTTCCCCAATTCCTGGGCTCAGCCCTTGATGGGGGAGCCCTGAGGTTGATGCCTTACAGGGTTTTTCCTCCATTTGTTAGGAGGAGAGCTGAGGCCAGAGAAGAGAATAAGGCAGCACTAGGGTAGGGGTACTGGGTGTGGGAGACAGGAAGGAAGACCTAAGAACTGGAAGAGAGCAAAAGTGAAAAATTCCTTTTGAACTGGCAGATGCAGCTAGGCTATGCGAACGAGTATGCGCGCTGACAAGTGGATCAGGCCCTGAGGAGCAGAGGGGCTGGTCGCCACAGAAGTCACATGGGTTCTCAGGATGTGCCAGGGGCAGAAATAACACCAGTTTGAGAGCAGAGCAGGCCACAGTCTACTCGGGTGTGAAGGGGTGGGGCAGGCAGCGGCCAGCTTCCCGCTTCCTGCCTTCTGTTTCCAGCTCCATGGATGGCCTGGTGGGGGTGAGGGCCCTCCCAAACACCAGACCACACAGTCCTCGAAAAATAAACATTTTATACAGACATTTGGCTTTGCTTCTCTGTTCTCCCCACGGGACACTTTGCCATTGGCTGGGATTGATCTTGGGTTTCTTGAAAGAACATATCTGGTAAGCTCCCTCAAGGCCCTGCCGTAATCGTGCCCCTATTCTGAGAGTTCCCACAGTCCTTTGGCTCTCTTCAGGGATCTCATCCTCCCTGTAGTATGTTCTGTTGACCTCTCACCTCAATCCTTATTGTAGCTTATTTTTCCTCTGCATTGATGTCAGCTGTTTTTGAATAAATCCTTAGAGCAACCTTGAGGGGAGAACTAACATTAAGTGTCCACTGTGAGGCCAAGGGATTTACGTCTTACAGATAGGGAAATGGAGACTAGAGAAGGTCAGCAGCTTGCCTCAAGCCACAGGGCAAACCCAGCCACAGAGCTGGATTGCAGGTCAGGCCGTGTAATGCCATCGCCCAGATGTATACTGAACATCACCCTTCTGAGGGAAGACGGGCTGCTCTTGGGGTTTGGTTCTCAGTCCCTGCTGTGCTATGGTGGCCTCTTAATGGGCCCTCTCCCTACTCATCCATGCACCTCCTGGCAGAAGGTAGTCCCAGCAACCAGTGTGGTACCTGGAACATCAGGGGGGTCAGAAATATTCAATGAAACCTCCAGCTTTGGGCTACTGCCTGTCTGCTCCCACAAAGATGGGGACACAGCCTCTAGGGGGCTGCAGGCGTCCTGTGCCCTGCCTGAAAGGGAGCTGGGACTGCTGTCGGTCTGGTCTGTGGAATGGAGGATGTTCCCCAACTTAGGAATAGGGGAGCCCCTCGGGGTTGCATTGAGGGACATGGTGGCAGCATTCATCGTGGGGGCCTCCATCCCATTTAGCTCCTCTACTCTAGAAGTCCCCTGGTTCCCCAGCCCACAAGATCTTGCTCCCAGAGAGCCACTGCTCCTTTCCAGTGTGAGCTAACTCTCAGACAAGTATTTTCATTTTAATCAAGGCCTCCTGAAAAGTTGCAACACCCAAAGGAATGAAAATGAGTGATAGAAGATCAACGAGGGAGCCTCGAAACAGCACAGAAGCCACAGAAACTGACCTACTCTAAAGTTTAGCCCCGAGTAGAGCCCGGGAAGGGAACCCCTCCCCTCCCCCCAGACCCCTAGACTGAAAATCGAAGGCCATCTGGAGGTGGCTTTGGAGCAAGTGGAGGTCTTGGATGGACTCTTCCTGTGCTCGTCCCACTTCGCCTCCCGCCTCAGGCAGCGTCGAGGAGGGGCTGCTTCCTCCTCCAGATCACCCCGCCAACAAACCTGGTCCCGCCTGTGGCTGCCTGGAGTCACCTCCAGCAGACATGGCTTTCGGTCCACCCTGGCTGTCCCAGGGCCTGCAGGCTGGTGGTGAGGGTCAGCTGCCTGGGTCAGACGCTGGCTTGCAAAAGGAGTCCGGCAGCCCCTTGGCGTGGTTGACCAGCTCATAGGAGTCTCGGATATCCGCCAGGCCAAACCAGAAGAAGATCCACTGCTTGTTGGAAAAGCTGCCGTCGCTGTGCTTGAAGTACCTGGTGGTGGTGGTGGGAGCTTTTAGTGCCCGGCCAGTGCTCATTTCTCCTGGTTCATTCACTGAGGACCTCCTACCTACCAGACACCTGCTGGGACCTGCGGTCCGTTACCTGCAGCTAAGAGCCTGGAGGTGGTGTGCTTTCACAGGGAAGCAGCCAAGGCTCAGAGGAGCGGGGTGGCTTGCCAGAGTCTCACAGCGGGGGCGAGCATGAGGACACCCCTTGCTCTCTCCACACTGCCTTGGCTGTGCAGCCAGGGAAGAGGTTCTGTTCACCACTTGGTGCCCACAGAGCAGAGTAATGGGGAGTGAGGGGAGAGTTGCTGAAGGAAAGAGGAGTAGGGGTTCTGCTGGGCCTGGGGTCCGAGAGGGCAATTGGGCCTGGGGTAGAGCCTGAGTGATCAGAATTTCTCAGGACCCTGGGAGAGATGGGGGTGGGGGAGGGGCTGTCGCTTGCTTCCAGGAATCCACTGTTGCAGGGCGGGGGTGAAAGGGGGGTTGTTCTGTGTCGACTGCCTGGGAGGAAATCTCAGGCTCCCTGTGTGGTCCTGGAGAGCGGGCCACAGTGGGCGGGGCCTTTCCCTGTGAAAGAAGGGGCCGCCTCGCCTTCCTGCCTGGTGGACCCGGGGTGTGGCTGGCGAGGGCTGGTGAGGGAGGAGGATGGTGCCCCGCTCCGGGCTGGGAGGGGCAGAACCTACCAGGGATTGATGGGGTTCGTCACTCTGGAGCGCCAGAAAAGCGTCTGCAGGTCCCGCCGCAGACACTCCCACAGCATCTGGCCGGAGCCTTGGCCCTGGCGGCTGGAGTTCACCACGAACTTGTCCAGATACGGGGTGCCCCCCAGTACGGGCTCCGTGGTCAGGATGGCGGCAGCGTTGTACCTGGCGCAGCGGGGAAAGTCAGGCTGGGACTTCTCCTTGGTCCGAAAGGCCGGGCTGTGTCCCGGGTCCTTGGTCGAAAGGCCGGGCTGTGTCCCGGGGCCTCTGCCCTCTGGGCCCCCAGGCTCACCCCTCGGAGACGTAGACAGAGTGCAGCCGCGGGCGCAGCGAGGCCAGGTAGTCCTCGCGCAGCTTCTTGCCGAAGCTGGTGTTGACCAGGTTCACCAGGCGGCCCTGGTCCAGGCTGTCCAGGCTGCGCACTCGCAGCAGCCGCTCCACGTTCTTGAAGAGGGTCCCGGACCCTGGGGTGGGACGAAGGAGGCGGGGTTAGTTCAGCCCGAGAGCGAGGCCTCATCCGCTCCGTCGGGGCAGCCTGGGGGGCTCCAGATAGGACGGGGCTGATGGGGCAGTCACCCGCTTCGGGAGATCGCGCCGGCGAAATGCGTCAGTGGTCTGCATAGACTTGAAGGCGATTTTCTCCCAGGGAAAGGCCTGTCCCAGGCAGATTGTCCCTGCAGTTCAGCCCTCGGCCTGGAGTCCCACCTACTTCACCTAGTCCCGCCCCCGCCCCGCCCCCCTCCTAGTCCGGTCCATTCCCCTTCGTGTTGCCCTCCAAGCTCCGCCCTCTGTGGAGTTGCCACACTCTCCCAAGCCACGCCCATCTCTCTAGTTCCGCTCAACTTCCCGCTCAGGCTCCTGCACTGGCTGCCCTCCGCCAAGTTCCGCCAGAGCAGAGCAGACAGCCTTTGGGGAGTCCCCCTGCGGCCTGCTTCCCCACCCCGGGGCAGGCGCTCACTCCCTGGGCCCCGCCCTCTCTTGCTCGTCCCCACCCGCTAGCTGCCGCCTTTACCCTTGTTGCTGAAGAGCTCGGTGAGCAGCGTGCTGGCGGCAGTGATGGCGGCCGAGGAGTGGTGGGGCAGGCGGCTGAGCACCTCCACGATGAGCCGAATCTGCTGCCGCTCCTTGGCGCTCACCCACTCCGCACTGGTCACCAGGTCCAGGTCAGCGGGCAGATTCACGTTACTCAGGACCTGCGTCGGGCTAGGAATTGAGCCTCCGACCCGCAGCCGGCCATGGACCACCCTGCCCCAGGGACCCCTTTACCCTCACCACCTCCCGGAATCCTTGGCCAGAGAGGGCTCAAATCTGGGCACCACGCCGGGCTGAGCCCCTCCCGGACCCTCCACTCTCGGCTTGAGGGGCTCAGCGAGGCCAGCAGCCGTGGGTGCAGCCTGAAGGAAGGGGACGCACCTTGCGGCTGCTGTCCCGCAGGCCGCCCGTGTTGTTGAGGAAGATGATCTTGGTGGGCTGCAGCGCCTTGGCCAGCGCGGCCGTCACCTCCAGCGAGTCCAGGAGCACGGAGCGGCGCGCGGCTGTCTCCCCAATGGGGCACAGGATGGGGATGCTGCCCGACTCCAGGCACCACTGCAGCAGGTCGGTCTCCACCGAGATGGTGCCCCCATAGCTGTGGGCCAGACGCGGTGTTCAAGAGGGCCTCCGCCAGGCCCGCGGGGCTGGGGCCGCGCAGACGGGCCGTGTGGTCTGAGCACTAAGGGGCGGGCAGGGCTGCACTGACTGAGCGTGAGGGGCTGGCTCCGCCGCGCTCAGCACCGACCCGCCACCAAAAAAGGGCACAGCTGTCGCGGCGTTTTGCCGGAGCGCGTCCACCAGCACCTTGCAACTCTGAGCGAGCTGCGCCTTGGCCTCCCAGAAGGAAAGGCAGCCAGAGGGCGCTGTGGGCGCCGGCAGCCCCAGCACCACCAGCGGCTTCATGTCCATGCGCTGCAGGAAGGCCAGCGCGAAGGCCAGGCTGGACATGGCCCCCGAGGAGTCCCCCGCCCCTGCCCAGGCCCCATTTCTGGCTACCGGGGCCCATCTGCTCCGCCCTTTGCCCCGCTGGGTCTTGCCATCCCCTTATCTCACTCTAGTGTTCCTCCCTGCGACCTTGGACTCTAGGACACTGGGGGGAGGGGTGACGGAAGTGACTCCCGCCCAGGTTCCCCACTTGCCATCGGAACCCCTAACTGTGCCCATGGTGGGGGCCTTCTCCAGCGCATCTCGGACTGGGCGCCGACTCTGGGAAGAGCTCAAAGCCTCGCCCGGTCCTGGGGCCCCCTTCCCGGTCCGGCCGTGCAGTCTGCCGCCCGTCCTGCCTGCCCGCCCACCT